TTCATCATAACAGTGATACTACTTGGTATTAGAATATCTAGGGGGAGAGAGAGAGAGAGAGATTCTAAACCAGAGATAAGTAAATAAGGATTAAGAAGATTAGGCATCTTGTGTGATTGTAGATGAACTATAAAAGGGGACTTCTTCCAGGGCAACTAGCTCAATATGGTATTGACATCCATTTTACCATTGGCAAAGTAACATTTCTTTCAGTGATTAGTGGAACAGCTTGTGTTAGAGGAATAGGAAGTACCTACTAACCTCCCAAGCTCAGATTTGTTAGACAACAAGTTTAGCTGAGTTTGGTTATTTTTACCTCCTGATAAAAGTCAGATTATCTTTCCATACCTCATTCTTGTATATTTTTAAAATATATTGGAGCACATAAACATGTGTTAGCCACTTTGGTCTTTCTTTTGTTCCATTTTGAGCATTTAAGTGAAGAAACAAATCACAAGACAGCTAAAATCCACAATACCATGTGCTTTGAATATGTTATTGAACTTCCTAATAAGGAGCTAGGATGGTGTGCAAGTAAGGTTTTCAAAGGGTGAATGATAGATTACTTACAGAAGGATATCAGACTGATTTTAGACAGTGATTCTTAGAGTTCCAGAGCTTAACTTTCTGAATCAAACCTTAACAGGATGGTGGAAGCTAAGTAGTAAAGGGTGATGGTTCTGTGAGCTTCAGTTTGAACTTTAAATTCATTATTGTGTATTTTGGTATTTTTACAAAACTCAGTGAAAAATACTCAATTGAAGATGAAGAAGTTCATAAAATGTATTTACTATAAAGAACCTAGAGGGCTGGGGATTTAGCTCAGTGGTTTCAGAGCCTGCCTCTAAAGTGCAAGGTCCCGAGTTCAATCCCAGGTACCAAAAAAAAAAAAAAAAGAACCTAAGTGGGAGAGTAAATAAAGGAAAACTGTATAACTATATACAAGAGGGTTTTAGCAGCAATGCAATAAGAGGCTGACAGTAGACTTATTTTTAAAGGTACATCATATTTCATAACTGCTAATTCCAAGAGGTCAACTGCCAGATATGGAAGCACTTAGCACGCTCACACACTCATTCAGTTTCCTTTCTATTGGGATGAGACACAAGTGATGGTAACAAATTATCCTAGAGATAAATAATATCCAAAATGATTAAACAACTTTAGTCTCACAGCTCTTCAGGCCTAAACCCTGTGATTATTCTTGCCTTCTCTCTTAGTCTAGACATTTACACAGTGATGTATGAGCAACCCTTTCAGCTCTACCTTTAAAATATTTCTAGAAACTAACCACTGGCTTCACAGTTGCCATTCTGACCCAGGCCCAACCCATCTCCCCCTCGGATTGTTAAGATCACCTCTTGATTGGTCTCCTAGCATAAACCATTGTGCCCCATAGTTAATTCCCAACAAAACAAAGCTAGAGGGATCCTGTAAAACATAGGTCAGACTGTATCAGTCCTCCACTCAAATCCTACTAGGCCTTTCCAATTTACTCAAGGTGATATCCAAAATCCTAACAGAGAACTGTAAGGCTTTCCAAGATTTTGTATCTCTGATTTCACCTATTGCTACTTCTCACTACTATCATGTCATTGCCCCAAACTGCAGTGCCCCTGACACTGTTTTGCTGTCCTTTCAGGCAAAGCTCTTCCTTGGGGTCTTTCACTAATTGTGCCCTTTGCCCAAAGTGCTCCTTCCCCAGATACTCTTATGGCTTCCTCAGTCACCTCTTTCAGATTTTTGCTCAAACATCATGTTCTTGGTAAAAACTTCCAAAGCTCAAAAGCTGTCACTGACCCACGTCTATCATTTTCTCCCTGCTTCCCTGCTTTAGCCTCCATATCAATTACTACCATCTAACATATTAAGTACTTTATAGCTATCCAACCAGGGCAGAGAGATTGCTTTCTTTGTTGACTCCTGATTTCTCTGAACGTGGAATGGTGGCTGCCACATATTTAGTGCACGTTTTCATATAAATAAATGTGTAAATAAATTGGAGATACAAGGGGGGTCTAGGTGTAGAGATTTTGAAAGGAAAAACAATTCACTTCACTTCAACTTTTTCTAGTGATTGTAGAATTGACTTGTAATTCTTAAGTGTCTCAATCTTCCTGCCTTTTCAAATAAAGTATTAAGGATTCCCTCTTGCTGGCAAGATTTCAATAGAAGGGCTGCTTACCTATTGCCCTGCATTTGTGCTCATCCCAGCTGGCCCACTTCCTCTGAGCTTTTTTTAATCTACTTCTCTTTAGACACAGCTACTCCTCCCCAAGATCCCCCAAACCTGTTAGTAGATGCCAGTGGGGATAACAGATTTACTACAGGTTGGAGGATAATATGGCATAGAAATGTTCTGCATTTTCATGTGTTGACAATCACAAAATGATAACATTTGTACACCCCACTGAGAAACTGGTCTATATGGGGCTTGGCATAAAATTTCATTGTATTTTTTATATAACAGAATTATAATACATTTGGAGAAAGTATAAAACTTTGGATTTTTATAAAAAGTCTTTATACACTTTAAAATTTTTATTGAAGATCTTAATAATTTATTGAGAAGCTTTTGCTTGCTCTGGTGAATGTTTTTTTCCATTTTTTAAAACGGAAATGTAATTGATGTACCATAACATTTAACCAACTAACATATACAGCCCTTCTAAGTGGTTTGATTTTAATGCATTTTCATCACGTCAAGTGGAACCTTGTACAGATTAGCAGTCATTTCTCACCACCCACTCCCCCAGCCTCTGTTAGCCACTACTCTACCTTCTATTACGAGCATTTCATAAAGAGAGAAAAAGGCCATGTGAGTATTTGTACGCCTGTCTTCTTTCTTTGAGCATTTTATGAGATTTTTGTGCTTGAAATGATTGTATACAATATTTAATAAATTCTTAATAGTGATTTCTTCAAATTGTTGATACAATAATTACTATGGATAAGAAACACGCTTCTCAACAGCTGACATTATCCTTAAAGACTCTAACAGTTTGTTATTAGTTGAACCTCATAAATTTATCTTTTTGTCGGTCAAAACTGGTTCAATTTGGTAGCTGCATATGGTTCCAAACTAATAGTTCGATGAGTAAATAATAGTAAAATTTATTGTAATAATGTGAGTGGATTTTGAATCCAGTTCAGTTTTTTCATGTCAAGCCCTAAACTGAGGAACGTAAGTGCTAAGAAGCAGTTGCTATTGCTGGCTTGGATTCCACTGAAAGGCCATGTCAGCTGTGAATGGAGGGAGGTGTCCAGGATATGTTAAAGCAGAGAACTGGGACTAGGCCTGGAGCTGCACTGGCCCAGTCTCCTCACCAGTCCTGCCAAACACTCCTTTAGACTAACGCTGCTTGCTGCGCATTTTGGGGAACCTGAAACAAAGGCTCTCCATCATTAGCTACTCGGTTGGTATTTGCCTCGATGGGCCCCAGAGAACCCAGGTCCCGTGCAACTGTCATAAGAGCTGTAAGAATGGCATTTGACCTCTAAGGAACACAGTACACAGGAGAGAACTAGCTTAAAAGTGAACATAAGACTCACTTTCTGGAAGTCACTCAGACATACCCACCTAAGAATTTTTTTTCATTAATCTTCCCCTGTAGCTCAAGGTTGTGTTCATTTCCATATAGGCTGCATCCCTTTTTCTCTCTAAAGGGAACGATACCCCTTCCTCTCACCTTCCCTGGCTAGTATGGAAATATGTATCACTCAGTAAAATACATACCTCTGTCCTAACTACACCTGCTCAGACCAAAGCTCTGGGACTTGTCTTTGTCTTAGTAAGAGACTGATGGATTATCTTTCCTCAGCTAAAAGGGCCATTGCTCCATATAAATAAATGTTATTGTCTTGTTGACAGTGTTTTTCTTCACATTACAAACAGGATTAAGAAAAAGCTGACAGGCTTATCTGAAACTCTGGAGCAGCTGGGATCTCTGCCAATGTGAAGCTTCCCTTCTTGACATTCTGTATAATCAATGCATTGCAAGGATTTTCACGAGGTTAAAATAGCCTGGTCTCTTATTGAAGAAAGGAACTCAGGTGATATAAAGAGAAGGAAATGTAATTTCTTATTTTTTTAAATGCACACTCATAAAATAATGATCTAAGTTGCAGCCAGTAAAAATGTATATATTCTTTTTCTTTCCAAAACCATAGAATTTCTTCTCTCACCAAGACAGTTGTAGTCATAGGATTGTTTTACCTTCTCTCAGCAAAATACATTTGCCACTCACCTTTCTAATTCATTAAAAGCTATGCTCAATAGCACACAGTGAAGTGCTCGTGTTATGGGTCTAGATGTCCCCCCAAAGCCTCATGTGGTCAAAGGTGGCTGTTTCAGAGGTGGCTGAATCTAGAGTGTGTGATGCTGGGATTAAGGGCATGTGATTGCTAAACCAGTCCACAGATTGGTTTGGCAGCACCCTAATCCTGGTAATCTGGATAAGATAAAAGGGGCAGAAAGATGCTGTTAAGATTCCCTTGTTGCTTTTGCTTCCAACTGTTTCTCCTCTCTGGTGCCCCTCTGTCATATGCCACTCTGCTTTGCAGCCAGCTGATTACAGACTGAAACCTCTACAAACTGTAAGCTAAATAAACTCTTTCCCTTTTAACTTTGGGTGTCGGATATTTTGTCTCAACAACAAGAGAAAATAACTAAGACAGCTAGGAGTGAGGTGTGGTATTCTTGGGCTAGCTCTTTCTTTTTTCCTTTTTTTTTTTTTGGTACCGGGGATTGAACTCGGTTCCTTGTGCTTGCGAAGCAGGCAGTGGAACCACTGAGCTAAATCGCCGGAAAAAAACAACAATGACAAAAAAAATCCTGCTAGCTCTTTCATTTACTCTTTACCAGAGAACAAACTCGAGGACCTTGCACTTGCAAGGCAGGCAGCAGAACCACTAAATCCCTGGCCCTCTTTCATCTACTCTTGATGCTGAGCAATGGCTTATTGCCAGACAAACATAAAAGCCAATATTATGACACCAGATATTTGCAAAAGGAAAGAGTTTTATTGAAGGTCAATCCACTTGGAGACAGGAGGTAAGCTCAAATCTGTCTCCTGGATTGCTGGGAGGAAAGGAATTGTAGCAGCCAGAGGTCAGGGTTGATTGCTTGTAACTGGTTCACATCAACATGCTGGTCCAGGGGACCTTGTAGATAGATAATTCTGGTCCATCCACCATAAAACCTTATTCTCCATCCTCAGGTTCCACTCTGGGAGATTCTCTGTCAGGCTCCCATAGTCACTTTGGGTTAGGACCTATGGCTCTGCACCTGCATCCTCCAAAACAGCTTGAAGAGTGTCTAAGAAGAAGGATGTTGTCATTTTGTGGCTTGGTTTCATTATCTTGCTGTCTTGGTCAAGTTGCTTTAGCTCTTTGTGCTTGGGATTACTCAGCTTTAAAAGAAGAATGAAGGGCTGAATAGAAGATTAAACAGATGTAAACTGCTCAGGACCCTGCCTACCATAGAAATGGTTCAGCAGCACTCTGCAAATATTAGGAAAAATAAAAACGAGAAAGAATACTGTGATCATGTTAAAATTAAAGCACATCTACAAGGGACAAATTTAATTGCCAGAGGCATTAATAGCTCTGTTTTTTTTTCTTTCCAAAAATTAGTCAGAAAACTGATCATGGGAAATGTCCTAATCTATACTTGAGTAATAAGTATGCTAATAAGTATGAAGAAGCTATACATAATGGTGATGTCTGTAATCCCAGCACTCAGGAGGCTGAGGCAGGAAGATCACAGCAAGTTCGATGCCAGTCTGGGCTACATAGTGAGTTCAAGACCAGCCGGAGCTATATGGTGAGATCCTGTTTCAAAATAAAAGGACAGAGAAGAAGTAATGGTTAATTGATTATGATCATGAAAAATCAACTTTTACATATAGCCACTACTATACACAAAATATTTTGAAGCAAGCAAAAATCTCCATATTACTTTACATGTTACATGTTAAAACAATGGGCTAAAAGAGTGAAAATATTTTATTTTCATCTTTAACTAGATAAGAAGTATCATTGGTCAAGGGAGAATCGTATTTATGACTTTATACATATATTTTCTAGTAATTCTAATAATTTCTAATAATTTTTACTCTGTTGCTGTCATACTACTCCTTGAGTATGTTTAAGAGAGGAGAAAATGTAAGGTAGTGAATCCATAACTACTGTTTATTAAGTACCTGTGCTCTACACAGTGATAAGTACCTTGTCTTCTGTCTTAATAACACTAAGGCGCATATTACTGGGCTCACTTTACCTGTGGAGCACAGTAATCATATACTTAAAAATTTGCAGAGCTAAGATTTAAAACCAGGTCAAACCAAGGCACTTATTTCCCATTGGTAATTAGTTATGAAGCTATTAGTATTGAGAATTCAAATAACTTTCCAGCTGGAAAAGGTGAAATTTCCTTAATCTATATCATATACTTTGAAAATTAGTTTTTAAAAAACTTATGGAAAGCACATAAAAATTGGATACATTTCTGAACAAATATTTCAATATATATGCTAATTTGTTTCATTTATATGAATAGTTTATCTTAGTTGGTTGAAAAGGAAATTTGAGTTATTATCTGTTTCTTTTTTTGTAGGAAAGAATCTTTTTGGTTTATATCTTATACTAAATAATTACTTTGAAGATACTAATATGTAGTGTAATAACTATTATTATTCTTTTACTATTTGATTATGAAAATTTGTTTTATTTTTTCAAAGAATAAACAATAAGAAAGTGAACATATTTTTAACTTTAGAAATGACTATTTGAATTCATACTTACATTTAAGTAGCTAATGTGTCAAATTAAGAATTTTATGGGCTTTTTCACAAAATATATATAACTCAGAAGAAAAGTTGGATAATAGAGGATTATTTGGAAAAAGAAAACCCACTTTGAAAGTGGTCATTTCCAATGACCTTCATGACATTTATAAGTTTAAATTTTGAATTTTTCATTAAATATATTTAAATTCAAATGATACACAGAACACTAATAATAATCTTGCTTCACTCATCTAATACCTGCCCTCTGAGTACATAATTTTGATGTGTATCTTGCTACATATTTTGTATATCAAAAAATATGCAAACATAAATAATCCATAAGGATAATTTATATTACAGTTTCCCATTATTCTATTACTGCATTTTAAAAATTAAATATATCTGTATATGTATATTTTCTTCTGAGACAATGTAAACATTAGCCAGTGATTCTCCACTCTTGATGGACATAAGAATCATGAGATAAGCTTACAAAAAAACCAAAACAAAAACAAAAAAAAAGCCAGACAGAAATTGCCAGAGTCCTGCCCCACAGATTCTAGTTTAATTGGCCTGGGTGGGGCCTTGGCCTCTCTGACTCTGAGGTGCAGCTAGGTTGAACCACTGATTTAAGCAATCCGAACAGGCTGCAAATGCCAGCTCATGTCTGAATTGTTCAGGTATGTGCCCTCCCAGAAAGGCTCTACACTGGGTTACAACTATGCTGAGCCAGGAAACCCAAGGTTCCCTCAGAAAACTGATTAGGAGACATAAATTTGTTTCATCATATGTTGTGTTAGAGATGGTCATATGCCTGCAAAAAGTGGTACTAGGCCAGCATTTTCAGAAGCCATGGAAGTACATGTGTACACGTAGTACAGTGTGCTGTACTAAGACTGGGTTTATCCCAGTGTTGACTAAGTTCTAGAGATTTGTCCTTACCTGTAATAGGGCATCACAGGAAACCACACCCAGCCTTGTTCCTTCTCATCTGGCAGAGGTACCTCCTAGAGGGTGCAAAAACTTGTTTGGCCTCTCTTGGGTTGACAGTTTTCAGCTCTTGTGTGTCCTAGTGAGAACTGCATTAATATGGCAATTAAATATTTGCATGATCATTTAGTTTTCTTCACTCTTGCTTTACATTTGATAGAACGGAAAATAGAGACAGGAAATAGGATAGTTGTGGAGCCTCTCTCCCCACTTCCCGATATTTTTTTCCTTGGGATACAACAATTGGCAGCCAGTGATTATCAGGTTTTGTTCTGAATTATTCTGAAAGTTCTGTCTTCTTTAAATGGTCTTTCTCCTTCTCAAAACATTTACCTGGTCAGAAGTTTGGAGAGACCAGATGTATTTCAATTATAATTTGTCTTTAATGTGAGTTTTAAGTGAACAGACCTAGCAGCGTATGACAAAGTCACATTATCCTGACTTAAAGGAACAGGAGGGCAAGAAGTGAGAAAAAAAGAATATAAAGTCATAACTGTGGTCTTTTTTCTCAATTTCTTTTCTAGTTATTAGACTAAAACATTAAATTTTTAGGTTTGGTCTTTTTACCTTCCAAAAAATGATCATTAAGTGTTTTAAATGTAGATAAATGAGTGAATTGCTCAACAGAATTGTAGGAAAACAAGAATAACGAAACCTCCAACCGCCAGCAAGCTGTCCTGCACGGTGAAAGCGAGAGCCTGGACGCTGCGGGTCACCGGAGCATGTGCTCCGGGCTGGGCAGCCCATCTGGGCTGTAGTCCGCAGCTGGAGCCAGAGCCCCGCAGCTGCCAGGCTCCGCCCGGCTACGTCACGCGAGGCGGGGAGACTGGGGAAGCGAGCGGAGGGCGAAGGAGGTCGGAGGCCGCGGCGCCAGCTCCGGGGCTGAGTTTGAAAGCTGTCTGGGAAAGCGGTTTTTTTGAATTTAATGTAATTTTTTTGTTTGCTTTTTGTTTTTGTATTTATCTCAAAGACAGATGGCTGGCTTGGAAGCATAACTCGCACCCCACCATCATCTCTGGATTTGTACTTGATTCTTTTCTTGCACCTTGAGACTGGATTTCGTTATGGTGTGATGTGTTTTCTGGGGAGGAATTGGTAAGTAAGAACCGGCGAGCCTTTCTACTTTTTCCGACTCTTAAGCTTCACTACCAGCCTCCCTCCCTCTCTCTCCCTCTCTCCCCCCCCTCCTCCCTCCCCCAAGCCCTCCCCCCTCACCTCTTCATCCTGTCCTTTTTAGGTTTAATGACAGGGCTGACAGGGCTCAAAACAGAGTTCAGGGCTGCTTCTACACTTTAAAATGGAGAACTGATTACACCATTTTCACTTACTTAGTTTCTATAGGGAAATTATTTTATATATTCTGAAAGCTGGGTTTTATAAAAAGATTAATTGTGGACACACACACACACACACACACACACACACACACACACACCTTCTGTCATTTCCTTGTGAAATCCAGTAGTTTAAAGCAGTTAGGGCTGGCTGCCCCCACAAAGGTGAAATGGAAAAGTGTTGGCAATTTAGCCCAGCAAATGCACACGGGTTTATTCCTTAGGAAGAAGAAAAGTGTTTAGACTGGACCTTGCTCAGAAATAGTTTTGAAAGGAACATTACCAAACAGAACAGTCCGCATTCTTCCCAGCAAACACTAACTTTGAGAAACTGAGTTGCTATTTGGGGCACCCTTCATTTTCCATTAAGAAACATGCAGTCGTATTTTACCACATACAATGAGTAAAATATGTGATGGGTGGTTAATGAATTTTTGCAGTATAGAGTCTTATTGGTGATTTGGCACTATGCCTTCAAAAATAATACGTTTTAATTATTCGGATACATCGAGATATGCTAGCTCAAATATTTAGCAAGTTATCTCAATAAGACCAGTTTCCTCTTCCTTCTTTTCATGACAAGTCTTTGCAAGGAGGAAACAATTCTATATGCTCCCGGCAAGCCTCTGACTAATCTACCTTGAAAGATGGACCAAAAAGGTTAGGGACCCCTTATCTACCATGATATTGTTTCCACGTTTAAATTGGGCCAGCTCACATTTCTGTGAAAAGTATCACTATCATAAAAAAAAAATTTCTTTTTGTTTACTTAGAATAACTCCTTCAGTGCCCCTGTGTGAGGCCCCATTCTTGTCTACTCCAAAATGTAGTAAGTGCTTCTTCTGGAGTGTTTATTATTCTCATTACAAATACATTTTACTTACATTGAAATTAGCTTTTTTTATCAAAATGAGATCTACTATCTGTATGGAAAAACAAGTTAGCAATATTCAAACAGCTTTAGGATGTTTAAAAACAACAGTATAACAACATTTGTTAAAGTGCATGAAAAAATGGAGAATTGAAGCAGTCTAAAACAGGATGTGGGGAATGTCTGACCTTGGCATAGGAAAAAATAAGTACTTTCTTGCTTAGTGTCTAAAAAATTGAATAGGATATTATTTATTTTGGTATTGTCAATAAAATTAAGGGAAATGCTCAGAGTTTGATTATAAATCCTGAGAATAAAAATGCTCATTTGTTAGACAAATTTACATTTTAGAATCAATTTTAAAAGTTTAAAAACACCCACATATTCAACCCTTCATTCCATGTTTTGCTTATGGTTTGATTTAGTTAAAAATCTTTTTTTTTTTTTTTTAACAAAGGGAATTATTTTAAGAAAATACTTTTAGCAAGCAAGACTATTTGGGGACTATCAAAGCAAAACACACTAATGAAGATAAACTTTACAGATTGTCAATATTTAAGAAAAATAGAATTTATTAGCTCTAGGAAAAATGTTTGCTGGGTGCTATTAGCGTATCTGGTTGATAGTTATAGCAGCTGAACAACTTATCATTTTTCAATTGTTATATTTTATTGAAAACATTATTCCCTCCCTAGTAAATGGATTTATTTCATTTTCAAAAGATTTCAGTCATAGAAGTACTAGTGATACTAACTTTGTAGAAAAATTGTGCCTCAATGGAATCTACATTCATGGTGTTCAATGAAGGGTAGGTATATTAATACAGCTACATGAGGCAAAATATGTAGTATTGGACAAATAACCCTAAGTCTATTAATATATCCTAAGTAAATTGCATGATTTCTTTATGAAGATTTATAAATATAGTCGCTGTAGTGTTACCTATAATATGAAAAAACTACAAACAGCCCAGTAACAAAATATTTAAATTAAGTTAATGTTTTATCTATCTATAGATACAAACAAAACCCACATAGTTTTGAAAAAATTATGATTAGGAAATATACTTGCAATTATTGAGTGAAAAAGGCAAGATTTAATACTATGTTATGTTGAATGTATAAAATATAATTTTGAAATAAATATCTAATAATTATTTATTCAGTAAATATTTATTAAGCCCTATGTATCAAGCATTGTTCTAAATTAAAACATTGAACAACATTGAGCAAGACTTTTTGTTTGCATCTAAATTCTTTCTGCATCATTGGATAAATATATTAATATGTCATATACCAAAATATATGTACACACATATACACATATTTCTAGGTGGTGCAGTTATAGATTTGATTTTCTTTTTTAAAAATGTCCTGACATTCCCAAGTCTTAACAGTTTTTACTTTTATAGTCAGAAAAATACCACTTTCAAAACTATCACCAAGAATGGATTGTGGATGTGTAGCTCAGTGGTAGAGTGCTTGCCTAGCATGCAGGACGTCTTGAGTTTAATCCCCAGCACTGGAAAAAAATCCAAGAAATACCATTAAACAAAATAAAAAGACAAATGCTAAGCTCTATATTTTTACATTCTATTATTCCCTTTTCAAAAGACATTACTAAAAGCTGTGATTTTATAATATTGCTATGATTGGAACATTTTGTGTCTCCCTGCTCCAAACTCCTAAATTTATTTATCGAGTTCTTATCACCAGTGTACCTGGTATTAAAAGGTTGGGACTTTGGATAATGATGAGATCGTGTGGATGAAGCCCTCAGGAATGGGATTAGTGCCCTTATAAAAGAGGCATAGAAGGCTGCCTTACCCCTTCCATCATTGTGAGAACATAGTAAGAAGGTGCCACTGTGTACCAAAAAACAGTCCCTCATCAGACAAAAGTTGTTGGCACTTTGATCTTGGACATCCCAGCCTCTTGAACTGTAAGAAATGAGTTTCTGGTTTTATTTTTTTTATAAGACTACTAGTTTACAGTATAATTTGCTTAGCAATCCAAATGGACTAAGACAGAGATATATGAACATCCCTACAAAAATGTCCCCCAGTGAAAAATAAAGTTGTGTAGTTTGAGAATAAAATGAATTGTATAAGGTTGGGAGTATGCATTAACTTCCCAATAATCAAAGAAGTTCAATATAGCACTAAGTTACCATATACATATATTATGTCAACAAACATGGGAAGCAAATCAAAATGTGTGAAGATATTGGGAAGACTATTCAATGATATGAAGAATATTTTTGATATTCTGTAACAAACCAAGTTACAAAATGATATCCTAGTTTTGAAAAAAAATTAACCTATGCACAAAACTAATTTATTGGTGAAAAACAAACCAAATTTTAATAGTCCTTATGTTTAGGTGGTAATATTATAGATATCTCTTTTTTCTCATGATATTAATCTGTTTCTAGAAATTTTCAGCAAATTTACGTTAGTTATTAAGGAAAGAAGTCACTTTCTTAATAGAAAAACTTGTCCTGCCTAGAATGAAAAGCACACGCATGATATTAGCTCTCCTCTCTTTCACAGGGTGCCACACTCCCTATGATATATAATTTCATGTCGAGTATTATTATTGGAGTTATGTTTTCTGGTGAGAACATTAGGATTAGAAAGGAAATCATGAGGCAAAGTTTAATCCTGCTCACACTCTCTTTTCTATTCTTTTCTGAAATCAGTCATGTTGGACTGAAATGTGCTTTATTTCATTTTGCTTTCCTGTTGACTGCATCTGCTAGGATCTGATACTGTTAGGCCTTAACTAAATACTCCTTAATTGATCATCCTAAAATATACTTATTTGATTTAAGGTCTTTTTGAATTAGGCAAATGATTGCAACTTCATTTTGTTAGTAAAAAAAACACAATTCAACTCTATATGTAGGATAGGTGAAAAAGTTGTAATTTTCTTGGTATGAGAAGGAAAGTGGAAATGAATTTTTTTTTTTTTTTTGGTACCGGGGATCGGACTTGGGACCTTGTGCTTGCGTGGCATGCACCAGAACCACTGAGCTAAATCCCCAGCCTAAGAGGAAATGAATTTTGAACTGTCCCACATGTTGTAAAACCTTCAATTTATAATATTGATAATTAGCATGATTTCAAAACATTCTAATTTGCTTTAAGTAGACTATAAAAATATATAGGACATAGTTAAAATATCCTTTTTTCTTTACTTCAAGCTTTTTCTAGAGATTCTTTTTGATCACCCAGACTCTACTTACCCTGTGATATTTCCTGGTTGAGAAATCAACATTTTTATTTTGTCCAGAGAGAAAAATGCCTGAGTCTGAAACATTGCACTTTTAAGATCCCTGAGCCAAGAACTGAAAGTGAAATGTTTTCAGTGGGGTTAAGGAACTTTGAAAAGTAATTCTTACTTTGAAAAGTAATCCCAGACTGGCTTTCTTCTCCCAAGTTGCCATGGAGTTGCCATACATGCCAGGGAGTATGGTGGAGCCAAGTGCAAGCCCATCTCATATTATTTTAATTATTAGAGCAAAAAGGTAGCTTTCCTAATGAAACAATTTGTCCAAGAATAAAGAGCACAGAGATGGTATTATCTACCCACCCACTTCACAGAATTCCTTGGTCTCTTCATTTCCTTTCTTCTTTCTTTCTCATTAATTTTCTTGGCTAAACAGATTGATGGTTCATTTTTGCAGATTCATACCTGCACATAACATACTTTGGTCATTTTTTACCCCTGCCATCACCTCCCTTTCCCTACCCTCCTTTCTAGTTTGACATGGGGAGGGTGTTAATGTGTATAATATATTTAGTCCGTATCCTTCCTCTCTGTTGCTGTCCTCATACCCTCTCCCCCTCCCTCTTATTTCCTTCTTCTTGTCTTTATTATATAAAATTT